TTTCAACCAAACGTTCAATCAGCGCCCTCCTATTTCAAAATCAGCCGTTGAAAAAACTGTTAAAAGATTTTCGGATACGGGTTCCGTGAAAGATCGTGTTCGAAGTGGTACACCCCTGCGTCCACAACTTCCCCGGAGAAAACTGAGGAGGTGCTCCTTACTTATCAGGAAAATCCACGAACTTCAACGAGAAATGCAGCTCAAGCGACCGATACTGATAAACGTTCTGTTGCGCGTATTCTAAAAAAAAACACAATTATTACCCCTACAAATGTCATAGTGTTCAGGAGTTAAATGAAAGACGACTATCCAAAACGCGTAGATTATTGTGAAAAACTTCGTTCGAAAATTGATAATTAACCAGATTTTCTTAACTTTGTTCTTTTCTCTGATGAGGCAACTTTTTATCTGAATGGTGTTGTAAACAAGCATAACGAAAGATTATGGACGGATGAAAATCCGCGGTGGTATCGTGAAATTCACACTCAAAACCCCCAAAAGGTAAACGTATGGTGTGGCATGATCGGTAGGCACACCATCGGGCCTTTTTTTATCGAAGGTAATTTAGATGGCGAATCTTATCTTACACTACTTCAAACTCAAATCATACCTGCTATTCAAAACTTGTTTCCCGGAGAAGATTTTCAAAGAGTATGGTTTCAACAAGATGGAGCGCCCCCACATTACAGTTTAATCGTTCGAGAGTATTTACACGCATCTTTTCCGAATCGTTTGATTGCCCGAGGCGTCGTAGGAAATATTTCGATCGCTTGGCCTGCACGGTCACCTGACTTGACCCCTTTAGACTTTTTCTTATGGGGACATTTAAAAGATAGTTTTCAAAGTTAAACCGCAGTCAGTGGTAGAGTTAAGAGAAAGTATTCGCCACGAGGTTGAAGAAAGTACACCAGAGATGCTGGCAAATGCAATTTTTGCAACGTTTGTTCGCTTAGGTCACTGCGAAATTACAGAGGGTCGGCAATTTGAACACTTGCTGTAAACTGGTAAGTTACCAAACAATTCATTATCCTTTTTTTTGCGTTGGATTGGAAATTACTTAAAATTATGTAATTGAAAATTGAAACATGTGGAAGAGAGGCAAAAGCGTGTTAAACCTTTCTATCGTGGACATTTTGGGAATAAAATTACCATATCCGTATTCCCCGAACTAAGAAACTGCCCCGATTTCATTTTCTGAGCGACTCCATTGATTAACAGCCGAAAAACCGGGTTTCGACCGGTTTTAGGCCGCCATTTTGAAATGAGGCAAAGATTTTGGAAATTCAATGCCAAATTCGTTTTTCCCGACCCAAAAAACTTCCAAGTACCAAATTCCAAGTCGAATCTTTGATACAAGTCGGAATACCGATTTTCGACAGATTTCAGGCTGCCATTTTGTTTCAATGATAGGTAGAGACTTCCGGTTTGCACCAAAAGTTTTCTTTTTTTATGCCCTTTTGAATGACGTGTCACAAGATGGGGGTTGCTATTTGAAAAAAAAAGTTAGGGGGGCTGGGCCCCCCCCCCCAAAAAAAAAATTTAGATAGTTTCTTTTGGTCTAGGAGCTTACCACAAAGCTCGTTTCTCTAACTCCAGCCGTTCAAAAAATATCCAACCGTCTCCAGACTTTTGCCCCACCCTGTATGCAATGACACTATGTATATACAGGGTGAGCGAAAAGTCCCCGACCCCCCCTCTAACTTTTGAACGAATTGAGCTAAGGAAATGAAACTTTGGGAATGTTCCTATCTCAAAGGGGACCATCTTTTGAGGGGGTCAAAATTTTGGTCCCCCCCTACTTTTTTTTTTCAAATAGCAACCCCTATCTTGTGATACCTCATTCGAAAGAGCATCAAAAACTAAGAATTTTGGCGCAAACCGCAGATCAATATCTCAATTTTTGACCGAGTTATGATAGGTCAAAGGTCAAATTTGACCTATTTTCAAAAAATCATAACTCCGGTTCAAATTATCGTAAAGAAAAAAATAAAACGGGAAAATTTACCAAATTGTGTTCGCTTTTACGTAAAAATTGCAGAAATCACTTCGATTTAATTTTAAGAGGGGGCTCGGACACCCAAATACGTCAATTCAAAGGTCATTCAATTTTCCTGCAAAATAAGCCAATTTCCTCTGGATTTGCCTCCACATTATCTCAGTAAGGTCAAAATCAGTTCAACATTACGTTGGCAAGTCCCCAAATTTCGGGAAAAGTTAAAAAAACAAAATTTAAACGGTCAAATTTAATCACCTTAAATTGGGAACAGGATGAACTTTTGCTACTTCAACAAGTCAAATCACGGAAGGAGATCCATGGTTGTCAGTTTCCTCCATCCGATGGGACTGACGTCCCAGTCAAATGCGTTTTTCAAGAAATGATCGATCCTCACCATTGCTTCATCTCCATATAATATTTATTAATGAGCAAGTGATGGCAAGCTCCGGTAACTAGGTTCTTGACAAAATTATTTTTGTCTCGAGAGCTTCCAAATTGTATACATCATAGTGATCAAATGTCCAACTACTCAGAAAAATGGCACACGCGTAGCGAGTGACCGGGGTTTCAGGGGGCACAGCCCCTTGGCTAGTCATAACGGACGCGCAAAGCGCGTGCAAAACGGCTAGTATTTAATAAATATGGCTCCTTGAGTCCATTTTCTAACGAATCGACTACTTGAACGTAAATCAGCCGCGCTCTTGACTGTTTCCCCCAAAAGTTTCCCTGGTCTCAAGTAAGTATTTGGTTTATTTTTTCCGGTCTGTGCACGCGTTTTTTTGCAGGCACGGCCACAGACCGGTGAAATACGCAGACATTTTTTTGACAGAGGCCGAAGGACATACCTATTTAATACTTTTCCACGGCATGAGTGGTGGCCCTGTTCTCCGTGCCGCCGTACGTCCTGAGAACGTTCTTATACGTGTGATTCTTATATCTTGACACTGAAGATATTAATGTCAGCTATCTGGCCCTAAGGTCCTCCAAACAATGGAAGATTGTCTCGCAGTCGCCGATTTCCATTTACATAAAATCCAGGCGTAAACTCCGCTTGCAACCGTAAAATCACTTGAGTACTTGAAATCCTGCTCGCCTCTCTTATAGCGCAGTGCTGCCGCATTCTATGAGCTTGGAGTAAGCATCCATCAACCCGATGAAAAGTAAACTTCGAACATCTACTGTCTGTACTGAAATGGCACAAAGACTTCTCATAATTCTCAAAGGGTGAAACAGTAGTTTGACCTAGAATTCATCAGGAAGGAACCATCCAACAGAGTAGGGTTTTCGCTCGGAAATTCTTCTTTTGTGATTCCCTTGTACTCCTTGGTAGAAGTAGAATCAGAATGTTTAATGTCGTCTGAACTACTATCCTTATAAGCTAGAGTTTCAGTTCTATCGTAATTAAAGTTATTTGTCTTACTTTTGAACAACTCAGACTCTCTGTCAGTGAACTTAAATTCTTCTTATTTGCTCTTTGTCATATCACAATTTAACTTAGTTGATTCGCCTGACTAAGTTTAGTGCGACTGGGCTCTGAAGACCTAGCAACCCGCAACCGCTCCTTTATCATCATAAGTTACTAAAAATTCAACTGACTTAGTGAGACTATTAGTTTGGTCCTAGTAAAGGCAAGGGGCTTTAGCTTGGCACCAAATATTTATCACCATATTGTCAAGAGCTAAGGGCTTTTTATTACAGGACATTAACCTGATTCTTTTCCTAACTGCTTTTAATGTTTCATAGACTGGGAGAGTTGAATTATTTGCGTCAGCTCCGAGTCAATTTTGAACCAGGCATATGCGTTTTCGTCCAAGAATAATTCTTGGTACTGTGCTGACTTAACTTCTACAGAATTAACATCCACAGGTAGCGCAACTGAGTCAGTATGTAGGTAGGCATCAGGAGAGTCATCAGTATCCACACAACTTTTTCCTAGGTTTATATGATCTTTAGTAGAGTTTGAACCCTCATCCTTACCAGAGTTCTTAGGATCATGATGAGGTCCCCCTTACTAAAATAAACCGCTTTTACTACAATTTTTGCCGTGAGCTGGGCATTTTCTGATTTTGTACCTTGTTACGCACTTTTTACAAAGGTATTATTCATTGCATTCTTGGTGTATATTTTTAGATGTGGAATGTTGCTATTTTTATTTAGTATACTTATTAGAATCATCTTCTCTAATTAAGGAGACCTGGAGCTTCTTCAATTTTGCGCTTGCTCATCTTGCGCGCACGACAAATCTTGAGGGTTTTGCCCAAGCCTAGATCAGTATTATGTAGGAGGCGTTCTTGGAGATTTTGGTCCGCTACACATAGAATGACCCGATTGACCCGGTCATGCAGCATCTCTTCCGTCTCTTTGTACTCGCAACTCTTAATTAGTTTGCGAGGTTCAGTAGCGAAGGCATCCAAGGTTTCTGCATCATATTGGAAGCGGGTGTTGAATTTAAAACGTTCCATCAGTACACTTTCCTTTGGGTCACAATATTATTCAAACACAGCAATTACCTTATCATAATTCTCCGAATCTTCATCAATTAGTGTGAACGTGTAAAATATTTCTGGGGATTTTTCTCCTATTACCTGAAGTGCTTAAGTAAAATGCCGCTTTGGTGATTAAAGCTTCGCTGTTATGACCAGAGACCTTCATATACTTACACCGCAAGAAATTGAGTTTAAATTTCCCAAAATTTTCCCGGAGGTTGCCCTCGAAAGACAGTGGCGAGAGGGGCTCAAACCGAAAACGCCACCCTTATGAGGCTGGATTAAGTTCAATTCAAGCTCTTGAAGACTAAGAATATCCAATAAAGTTTTGCAGATTAAATTCGGCGCACTTAACCCTTCGGTAGGTGCGCCTCTTCGAGCCAGATAACCTGGCGCGCCGAGGCATTTTGACCGCAATGTATGATCCTGCTTCTTCGGCAATACTGATGAGTTTTAATTGATCAATGTACTTAATCGTATATTTTCAACTATTTTTACACGACTTTATCTTTTTTCAGTTTTAATTTCGATCAATTTAACCACGGCTAAACCATCGAATTCTCAAAGAGGAAGTACCTACAAGTCAGTATACTTAATACAAAATTTTACAAGGAGAGCATTTATTTTCAACAGCTGCAACACACTATATTAAGGTAACTTTGAGTTTGGTAAACGTTTTTCTTGTGTTTCTTTCCTACTGATTATCAAAACAAATCGATTTTGTTGACATTTTTGAAGGAACGAATAAATTGCGTTCATGTAATTGTATTATTCAAATAATTTTAGGGAAGAACTATTGCAACACTATAAAATATGTCAAATACTTAGCGTAGGTAGAAAAGTGATCCGTGTGTAATTATTTAAGTAATACTCGAAAAATCACGCAACGTTACCGTTTGCTACCGGCAACACGACTGGGTGCGCCGCGGCAATCGGACCGCAAATATTTGACTCCCTTGGATTTGGGCCTCTTCTCCAGAAATTTCAGTGTTGAGAAAATTTTCAAATTATTTCATTTGTTTTCCCCAGAGCGCCATCTAGGAATAATGAAAGCCCTATCCTAATGCTTGCAGCTCTTCAACCCGCGCGAAGCGAAAATTTAAAATTGCGATACAAACACCCGCGACGCGCCCACCGACGGGTTAAACGACCTATGTCAATTTATTTTTCGTGTCCGTTAGCATAGCCGGCAATGTGTAAAAGCGTAGGTCCTGGCTCACTTTTCACACCGTTACACCGCCCTTAATCGCGTATCCGCAGCGCCATGTTTCGAGATGACTCTCATTGAGAAGCTTGTAGGAAGCCAAGGGTGCAGAAAATGCGCGATCGCGCGCTCAGGTGGATGCGTGGAAATGTGGGAAGCCCCTAAAATGTGGAAGGGGGGAACATTTTGAGGGGCCATAAGTCGAAAATCAAAGGAAAACAGAAGGAAAACGTCATTTCTTTTTAGATTGGTGGAAAATTCTGTGGAAAACTGATGAGAAAAATGTGGAAAGCCGGCCGGCGGGCGCGTGAAAATGTGGAAGCTTGGAAGATGCCTCACTTCTGGTAGGAATTACAGTTAATTGAGAAGACCGAAAGCTTCGAACATATTGGACTTTTATGAACAAGCACGAACACGAGTCATAAGATGAGTAGGCTATATTGCAGTAGGAGCTCGACAAACGCACAGAGAGGAGGAGGGCCCCACCAGACTGTGGTAGCTCCTTTATCTGTATGCAATGATGGATACATCTATTGCTACAAGATTTGAGCTCGGCATAGCCTTCATCTCCAGGATGTACGATAATTGAAGGGTCTGGAGGGCAAGGTACATATGTGCAGTTCTTGCTATTTCGAGAAATACGTGTTTGAAGTTTCGAAATTACATGGGTCCTCATGGTGGAGAGTAAGTTCGAACTGACTTTTTGATGCTTAAGAATTAGAATTCGGTCGCGAATTTTTCACAAAATATGCATTAAGACTAATTTCACTTAAAATAATTGATATTTAATTTTTTTTTTCAAAAACTGCACTAATGCGCCTTGTCCTCCTTGCCCCTCAATTATGATGAAAGACTACATAACACCCTCACCCTAATCCAGCGGCGATTCAGCTCCTGGATTGGAGTGCGGATCTAAGACGGCTTAACAGACGAAGCCATGTAAGCTGAGTTCATCTCTGTTTTATCTGAAACTAGCAGGAAACCCGTGCTACGCACAGGACTACCCCCACCACCAGAAATCACTGTGATTAGTCATCAGTTGCAAATCTTGTCTCTGTATTTTTATTTACTTTTCCAAAATTGGCGAGTCGCACTGACTTGATAAAAATGCAGAGATTAGTGGCATTAATCGTAGGATTTTTCTTGTAATATTTGCAAAGTATTAAATCATTATTTAACGGTCACTGTGTGTTAAAAACCTATAAATATTGGTAAAGTATTCGTGCATTCCGGTATTTGCCAAGTGATTGCAGCATTTCACTGGTCTGTGAAGCGTGGAGCCTATTAAGACGTTTATATCATCCTCACCTATTAAACTCTGTTGGTGAAGTTTTCATGTCCCATTGTTTTTAAAAATACTTTGAAGTTTATCCAGCGATATGTTCTCCTCTTCCTACAGTTTATGGTTTTTTTTTTGGGGGGGGGAGGAGAATGGAGATGAGTCCATTGAGCACTACGTATGTAATTAATAAGGGGGGTAGGTTGGGTTACATAGTAGTATCATAAGGGAAAGGGGGTTCAAAAATGCCAATTATAAGTGTGTTAAGTAATTTGTATGAATGCCATGGTGAAGCTATTATAATTATGCATGATATTAATTTTAAAATTACAAGGACCAAAATGTTTAATGAATTGCTGAATTTGAAAAATTGACATTTCATTGTTTAACAATAAGAACATTGGAAGGCGATGAATAAAAAATTCGCAGAATTTTCTTTATTAATTAATAAAATTCTGTAAAGTGTTAACGGAAATACCTTCTGTAGTATTTTGAAAGAGGAAATGGCAATCAGCATTTTTGAATCCTTAGGTGCCCACTTTTCAAGTTTAGGCGATGATATACTACAAAATACCCATTATCTCTATAGCTGTATTTTGATTGAATGATATAGGTGCAGGGTACCTAATTAAGGGGGTGCTAGGTCATTTTTCCTAAATTTTTTTTCCTACATCAGGTTTTCCTATTACTTTTTTCCTACTCGTTTTTTGTCCTATTACAGTAAGTCCTACGAGTGAGATGTCCCACTGGCTTTTTTCCTAAGGGTGTTTGTCCTAATAATTCAATAATAATTGAAACGTAAGCATGAGCAGAGTAGAGGGAACTTTTTCAGAAAGAGTAAAGTTTTCTCAGCGAGCCGAATATAAGTGCGTGAACAGGAGACATTACAACTTCTATACCCTCAATATAAGGAGGAGGATGAAGCTCCACTACTTACGGACATGCGGCCACAATTTTAACTTGTGAGGTACCTATGTTGTTTTTTCACTTTCTCGATCCCCTAGTTTTAAAATTGAATTTCGGACAAATGCCCCTAGGAAAAAAGCCAGTAGGACATCTCACTCGTAGGAGTAACTGTGATGGAACAAAAAACCAGTAGGAAAAAAGGATTAGGAAAAATTGCAGTAGGAAAAAATGTTTTAGGAAAAATGACTTGCCACCAATTAAGGGAAGGGTAAGAGAGCAGGCCTAGAATTCAACTGAAGAATTGTTTTCTAATTCCTTATTTACTGCCTTTGCAACAATATACGGGTGCGGCAAAAGTCCCGGGACGGCTGTTTATTTTTTAAACGGCTACACGTAGAAAAACGAATTTTGGGGGATGCTCTTGGGTCAAAGTAAGCTACTTCTTGACACTCCCAAAATTTGTTTGGGGGCCTCCCTAGGGGGGGGGGGCGGGGGGCAACCTTTTTTTTCAAATGGCAACCTCCCACTTGTGACCCATCGTTGAAAAGAGGATAAAAAGGGCGACGGCAAACTGCCACCCGGGTGGCAGTTTTCAAGAAATTTGTATGAAAACTGCCACCCGTATAAATTTGAAAACTGCCACCGGTAGTGAAAACTGCCACCCGTGTAAATTTGACAACTGCCACCCACATGAATTTCGGCGCACAGAGGGTCGAAGCGGACATTTAGAGATTTTCGGAGATCCCAGGTAAAGAAAAAAAGTAAGTGGGTGGATGCTGTCATCAAGCGATTTGATGAAAAAATCCCCAACAAAGAAGGCGAAGTGATGTCCCTTTATGACTTCATGAAAAAAATTTCCACTAAATTCGCCAAAAATCCCACCAACCTCACGAAAAAGAAAGAAGGTAAAAGTCAGAAGAAAGTTCAAAAGGTAAAAAAGAAAAAAAAGAATAACAAAAGTAATGCCAAATGATGAAAAAAGCTCCTAGTAGTGATGTACTCTTTGACTGCAATTTTACTAAAATTTTACTACTTTTAACTATTTTTTACTATAAAAATACTGTAAATTACTGTAAAAATACTTTTTACAATTTTTCACTACTTTCAACTAAGAGTAATGCCAAATGATGAAAAAAGCTCCTAGTAGTGATGTACTCTTTGACTGTAATTTTACTAAAATTTTACTACTTTTAACTATTTTTTATTATAAAAATACCGTAAATTACTGTAAAAATACTTTTTACAATTTTTCACTACTTTCAACTAAGAGCCCATTGACCTCTTTTCACCATATTAAAAAATTTAAAAAAGATTGTATTAAAAAATAACTTTTAAACACGCCTATTAAAAATCATCACAGACACTGCTCAATTTCTTATCATGTGTTGATTTTCAGTAGACAGTCCTCAGCCTGTCCAAGTGTGAAGGAAAGTTTGGTAAACTGTGCAACCCCGCTCAGTCGCGCTCCTTGGTCAAATTTCAACGGGTGGCAGTTGTCACTACCGGTGGAAGTTGTCAAATTTACACGGGGGGCAGTTGTCAAGTCGGGTGGCAGTTTTAAAATTTATACGGGGGGCAGTTGTCCATGTTTCCAGGAAATGGGTGGCAGTTTACAGCCTCCCGATAAAAAAAGAAAATTTTTGGCGCAAGTCTCAGGTCGCCATCTTGATTTTTCACAAAATGGCGGCCGAAAATGGCTGAAAAATGGGTATCTCGGCTATTTATCGATGGGATCGCATACAACTTGGTATCCGGGGGTTTTTGGGACGAAAAAAACGAATTTGCCTTCAGTTTTTCTAAATAACCATTCCTTCCCAATATGGCAGCCTACAAAATGGCGGAAAAATTGTTAGTTCGGCTATTTATCAATGCAATTGCATAAAACTTGGTATCCGGGCGTTCATTGGGATGAGAAAAACGAATTCGGTATTAGTTTTGCAAAATTCTCACACTATTCTAAAATGGCGGCCAAAAATGTCATGAAATTATGGGTACTTTCGTAACTTACTCATTGATCACCAAGGGAATTCGGACCCGGAGAATTTCTGTTGAACTTTTTTTGAGAAACTGTCTATGAGCTGAAATTATTAGTCATTAGTCGATCGACTATCGATATGTATCGAATGGTAACGAGATTTCTGGCTAAAATTACATGCGTGCGTAAGAATGAAAGGGTGGTTTACCAATTTACTCGATCAAGTGTTCAAAATGACTGCCGCCGCCTGCATCTTCACAAACACCTA